CGTAATTTTAATAACAATCTTGTCGAAATTTCAATTATTTTAACACTTTTCCCTCAATTTAATTAGTTGCAATATCTATACTAATTTAATAAAAATTTCCCAAAGAGTTAAATTATTTTAAAAAATTCTATGTAAAAAAAAAAAAAAAAAATTTCGACAAGATTGTTATTAAAATTACGAAGTTAAATTCCACAACGTTTATCAAATAAAAAATTATTTAATGCATTCAAATATTATTTTCAAATTAATTTTTAATTGTAAAATAATTGTCGCCAAATACAAACATCAATCTTTTCTTTCAAAATATTTTTGTGACAATATAGCTGCGTACTTTTTAATTAATTTACTAAGTGAACAATTCTTTTTCGTTGATCAACGTTGTGGACTTAAACTATTACTATTACAATTACTATTACAATTACTATTACTATTACAATTTTTCAAAATAATTTAATTTTGGAAAAGAATATTGTACTATTTTAAAAAATGATTGAAATTTTATGAGAATTTAAAAAAATTTTTTTTTAAAAATTCTATGTAAACATTAAATTATTTCCGTAAATAATAAAATTTTCACAGGAATTTAACTATTTAAAAATTTATTAGAAATTTCTTCGCAGTAATTCAATTATTTTCATAACTGTAAAATTTAATTACAGATTTTATTATTTTTATGAATAATAAGTCCTCGTAGAATTATAATTATTTATTAACAAATTTTGGATCGAATTCTTAGAAAAATGTAAATATTTTTGAAACTTTTATAAATGTGCGTCAAAAAAATTCAATTGTTTAAAAATTTGTTAATGAGAATTTAATTTCGAGAAACATTAAATTACTCAATAAATTATTTATTTTTGTATTTAAATAATTGAATTCTAATTAAAAGTTGTCTCAAAAATTAAAATCGGTAAAAATTTTAGATAACAATTAAATATTAAAAGCATTATAGCATGAATTTTCAGAAATAATTGAATTTTTAAAAGGTTCCAAATTAAAATTAGCTTTGAAAATTTGAATTTTTCATACTTGAAATTAACAATTCTGTAAACATGAATTTAGTATTTAAAGTTATTTTTGAAATTATTTCTACACGGAGAGAAAAATAAAGCGTTTTTAGTATGGAGACTTCCTATGGTAATTTTGTATTAACGCCCTGCTTAAGAGGCGTGTCCTTATACCTCAGTTGCATGAAACATATACTAAAATAGCATGGATCTCTTGCAATCGTAGTATACTGACGTCTCATGCGTTTAAAGGTAGAACTTTTATGCTGATAACGTAGAAATTGATACAAATACAGCAGAAATTTTACGCCTATTGCGCATGTGCATTCTTTTACTAAATAAGGTTAACTGTCCATACTAAAAACGCTTGATTTTTCTCTCCGTGTACTTTTTGTAAAATTAAACTGTAAACAAATAGCGATTTGGAAATTCTCAAGGAACTTTTGCAAAAATTATTAAAAATAATTAATAATTCTTGATTTATTTACAAGAATTTTAATAACATTTTTGAAATTAATTACATTTATCGAGAAATTGATTAATTTTTTTTTAAAATTGCAAACTTGATTGAAATTCTATAAAAAATTTTATTATTTATGAAAATAATTGCATTTTCAAACAACTAATTTTATTAAATTTTTTAAATAATTTAATTTGAAAAATTTTATTACTTGTAAAAATAATTGAATTCTTGCAAATAATATTTTATTACAATTTTTGTAAATATTTTATTTTTTAAAAAAGTTTGTGGAAATTTAAATATTTAAATACTCGTTAAATTTCAAAGAAGTTTGAAATTGAAATGTTCGAAAATCTTAATTTCTACGGAAAAATAATTATCATAAAATATATTTTTTTTTAAATAAAACTATTGATATTTTCAAATAATTTTACAATTAAAGAAATCTGTAAATAAATATTGTAGACAATTTTTTTGAGTGAATGTGAATATTTTTTAGGGTCAGGGAAAAAGTAAAAATTTTGTATGGAAATCAGGGAGAAACAAAATTAATTTTTTGTGGTAACCTTGCTCTAAATTAAATCTATATAAGGGACGTTTCACGTTAAGTGTGCCACCCCGTTGGCCAAAATTGAGAGCTTCCTAAAAAATTGGTTATACCCAAAAGTTATTCATATATATAGGTACTTTCGAAAAATATGTGGCCTTTTGAAAAATCCAATATGGCGGCTCCAATATAACCTATAAATGTATCTAAATTAAAAAAAAGCGGCCTAAAAGTGCTAATAAAAAGGGATTGAATGAGGAGATCACCTATGAATTGGGGGTAAAATTAGCACAAGGATACATACTTTGTATTCTATAAGCAAAAACGTTAATTTGATATCAAATTTCAGAAAATAAATATGGCGGATCCAATATGGCGGACAGAAAAATTTTAAAATGCATCGGATTTGCTTGAAAGTTGTTACTCAGGGGTTTTTGGGGTCGCTGATGCCGAATCTGATGTTTATTTTCAGAAATTCAAAATGGCGGATCCAATATGGCGGACAAAATTTTTTTTAATTCATCAGATTTGATTGAAAGTTGTTTCTCGGGGGTTTTTGGGGTCGCTGATGCCGAATCTGATGTTTATTTTCAGAAATTCAAAATAGCGGATCCAATATGGCGGACAAAAATTTTTTTAATTCATCAGATTTGATTGAAAGTTGTTTCTCGGGGGTTTTTGGGGTCGCTGATGCCGAATCTGATGTTAATTTTCAAAAATTTAAAATAGCGGATCCAATTTGGCGGACAAAAATTTTTTTAATTTATCAGATTTGGTTCAAAGTTGTTACTCGGGGGTTTATGGGGTCGCTGATACTGAATCTGATGTCGATTTTCAGAAAGTTTTATATGGTGCGTTAAAAAAATGCTTTTTCCTAAGTTTTTCTTGTGTTCGGCTTTACACATAATAAAAAATAAAGATACTTCCTCTATGAGGAAGGAAAAATTTAAAAACATCAATTACTTCATCCTCCAATTGTTTTAATAATTATCTAATTAAGTTATTATTGATATTTATTAATTTTTTTACGGTGCGCCTCGAAAAATTTATTTATTTAATGAATAAAGAATTTTCGTGAAATGGTTATCTCAATAATTATTCAAATAAATATTTTTTTAACTGTAATTTGTCATTCATATTACTTATTTATTATTATTTGTTCAGTAAATTGTAGATTTGAAAATACGCATTTTCTATGTGTAATTAAAAAAATTTAACAATTAATTGTTTAATTATATGATTATTAAACAGTTGCTGAAATATCGATTTGACATTTATAACTTTAAAAAATTAATTTTTAAAATTTTTTTATTAAATTATTATTTTTTTTTATTAATCAAAAACTTAGGAAAAAGCATTTTTTTAACGCACCATATAAAACTTTCTGAAAATCGCCATCAGATTCAGTATCAGCGACCCCATAAACCCCCGAGTAACAACTTTGAACCAAATCTGATAAATTAAAAAAATTTTTGTCCACCAAATTGGATCCGCTATTTTAAATTTTTGAAAATTAACATCAGATTCGGCATCAGCGACCCCAAAAACCCCCGAGAAACAACTTTCAATCAAATCTGATGAATTAAAAAAATTTTTGTCCGCCATATTGGATCCGCCATTTTGAATTTCTGAAAATAAACATCAGATTCAGCATCAGCGACCCCAAAAACCCCCGAGAAACAACTTTCAATCAAATCTGATGAATTAAAAAAATTTTTGTCCGCCATATTGGATCCGCCATTTTGAATTTCTGAAAATAAACATCAGATTCGGCATCAGCGACCCCAAAAACCCCTGAGTAACAACTTTCAAGCAAATCCGATGCATTTTAAAATTTTTCTGTCCGCCATATTGGATCCGCTATTTTAAATTTTTGAAAATTAACATCAGATTCGGCATCAGCGACCCCAAAAACCCCCGAGAAACAACTTTCAATCAAATCTGATGAATTAAAAAAATTTTTGTCCGCCATATTGGATCCGCCATTTTGAATTTCTGAAAATAAACATCAGATTCGGCATCAGCGACCCCAAAAACCCCTGAGTAACAACTTTCAAGCAAATCCGATGCATTTTAAAATTTTTCTGTCCGCCATATTGGATCCGCCATATTTATTTTCTGAAATTCGATATCAAATTAACGTTTTTGCTTATAGAATACAAAGTATGTATCCTTGTGCTAATTTTACCCCCAATTCATAGGTGATCTCCTCATTCAATCCCTTTTTATTAGCACTTTTAGGCCGCTTTTTTTTAATTTAGATACATTTATAGGTTATATTGGAGCCGCCATATTGGATTTTTCAAAAGGCCACATATTTTTCGAAAGTACCTATATATATGAATAACTTTTGGGTATAACTAATTTTTTAGGAAGCTCTCAATTTTGGCCAACGGGGTGGCACACTTTAACGTGAAACGTCCCATAAATATATATATATATATATATACAAAAGAATATAGTCAAATATAATTAAAAACTAATTTCATGATAAAATACTTCTTATTAATGTAAAATAAAGTTTTTAAAAAATAACATAAATTAATTAAATTGTATAAAAAACCTTTTTTAAGTCAGAAATTTTAATATATCTGTGGTGTATTCGAATGTCTTATCATCGAATGTGATTTTTCGGTACATTACGAGACACCTTTCGTCTTTCAAGTGGACCTATGTTTCATTTCATTTTCACACGCACACACATATGTTTTTCCCCTCTTTATATATTTTTGTATTCACGAAGTTGTGCGTTGCTACGACAATCGCGCATGACTTAGATTCTTATCTTCCTTCGAGAGATTTTACTTGTTCGTGATACTACGATTTCTAAGTTTTAATTTATCAAGAATTTTATATCTAAAATTATCAGTTTAATTTCAATTAATCCGAAATTGATTGTTCAATAAAATTAAATTGTTTATTTTATTGATTTTTGAAATATTAAATAAATTCTATTATTTGGTTATAAATTCTGTGATTTTTCCTTAAAAGAATTTAAAGCACATGTTCGTTAAAACATAACCCCACATTGGTGACCCTCGAACTTGTGTATAAAACGCAACCGCATTGCTGAGTACCCATGAACGCTGTACTGCGGGAGTGTAAAATTTAAACTTTTCTTTTTAAAAATTGTGGTGTCTATCTAGTGAATTTTTCCTTGCTCTCTATTTCAACTCAGTCATGCCTGTTGAAATAAAAGTAGATTCGGAACAGTCTACAACAATGCATCAAGATGATGGAGTTTCAAATGCTACTTTGGAGGCTTCAATTGCAAATTTACAAGCTATTTCAATACGGCCACTCAAATTTTGGAGTCATGCACCAGCACTTTGGTTTAAACAAATGGAAAATATGTTTTATTTGGCAAGTATAACTACAGAAGTTACTAAATATAGACATGTAATAAGCAATTTAGACTGGGAACAATTAAAAGAAATTCAAGATATTATAGATCGTGATGTACAAACTATTGAAGCACCTTATAAATTAGTTAAAGAACATTTAATTAGCCGTTTATCTAATTCGCAGAATTTTGATATTAAACAAATGCTTGAACGAGAACAATTAGGTGATAGAAAACCATCTCAACTTCTTAGAGAGTTACAGCGTTTGGGTCACAAGAAGGTCACAGATGAATTCATTCGTACCATTTGGACTAGCCGACTTCCCGATCAACTTCAACCTGTTTTGGCAACGCAACCGCCTGACACGACCTTGGAAAAACTCGGAGTACTGGCAGATACGGTATTTGATTTAGTACCACAACAGCAATTTTCTCAAATTAACGCTACAACCTCAGGTAATACTTTAAATTTATGTAATAAAGAATCTGCTCGGACAGTGTCAAAATCTCAGGATACTGTTAGTCAACTTACTGAGCAAGTTGCTGCTCTTTCAAAACAGGTTTCAAATTTAATTAGAAACTCTAAACATAAATATCGGTCTAGATCTAATTCACGCTCATCATATAATAACAGAAATTTTTCAAATCAAAATAACCAACGTTATAAAAATAATAATGATAATAATAGTTATTGTTGGTATCATAAGAAATTTGGTAAAGCAGCCAGAGATTGTAAACCAGGCTGTACTTTTGAATCGGAAAACCCTTAAAAAGTTCATTAGCGGTGGTTAATGAACCGTTAATTAAAACCCACCGTCTTTTTGTTATTGATATTTCGTCAAAATTAAATTTTTTAATTGATACTGGTTCTGATTTAAGCGTGTTTCCTCGAAGACTAGTAAACGGTTGGAAGGAAAAATCTAAATATGTTTTATTTGCAGTTAATAGTCAATCAATTAATACGTACGGTCCAATTTATTTAACTTTAAATTTTAATCTTCGTCGAGATTTTGTTTGGCGTTTCATTATCGCTGATGTCGATACACCTATCATTGGTGCTGATTTTCTTAACCACTATGGTTTACTGGTAGATATACAAAATAGTTGCCTTCAAGACAACCTTTCAAATATAACTACTAATGGATTTTGCGCTAAATCAACCAAAATACCTCAAATTAAAACAATAACTCAGATTAATAAATATTATAAAATTTTGCAGGAGTTTCCTAGTCTAACTCGACCTGATGGTATTTGCAAGGAGGTTAAACACAAAACTACTCATCATATCGTCACGAAATCAGGACCTCCTATTTCCTGTAAGGCGAGAAGGTTGGCACCAGATAAGTTCAAAATCGCAAAACATGAATTCGAGACTATGGTTAAAATGGGAATTGCTAGGCGTTCTAAAAGTAAATTTGCTTCGCCTCTTCATCTTGTTCCTAAAAAGGACGGAGGTTGGAGACCTTGCGGAGATTATAGAGGTGTTAACAATATCACGGAACCCGATAATTATCCTCCTAGAAATCTTCAAGATTTTTCCGCTAATCTTGCTGGTAAAATAATATTTTCTAAAATCGATTTAATGCGAGCTTTTAATCAGATTCCAGTTCACCCACCAGATATAGAGAAAACTGCAGTTATTACACCGTTTGGTCTATATGAATTTCCTTTCATGACCTTTGGGCTTTCTAATGCTGCACAAACTTTCCAGCGATTTATTGATGAGGTGACAGATGGACTCGATTTTTGTTTTCCGTATATAGACGATATTTTAATTGCGTCTAAAAATGAGAAAGAACACGAGGCTCATATTAGAGAATTATTCCAGAGATTAGAAAATTTTGGTGTAGTTATTAACATTTCTAAATGTACTTTTGGAGTTTCAACATTGGAATTTCTTGGTCATACTATTTCAGTCGATGGTATTAAACCCCCTGAATCTCGTGTTAAAGCTTTACTAAATTGCCCATTTCCTAAAGATGTCAAACAATTGCGTAGATTTTTAGGTTCTTTCAATTTTTACAGACGAATTATTCCGAATGCGGCGACTATTCTCGCTCCATTAAACGAATGTCTCAAAGGACCTAAAAGCAAAGGGAAGAAACTTATCGTGTGGACACCTGAATTGTCTTCTGCTTTCGAGGAGTGTAAGAAAAAGTTTGCTGAAGCTTCACTCCTGGCCCATCCAGACATTAACCTTCCTTGGGCTCTTTTTACCGACGCTTCAAATACCGCTATAGGAGCTGTTCTTCAACAGAAATCTGTATTTGGATGGCAACCTTTGGCATATTTCTCGAAAGGTTTGAATCTCACGCAACGTAAGTATAGCACTTACGATCGAGAATTACTAGCTATTTATAAAGCTATTAAATATTTCAGTTTTATGCTCGAAGGTCGAAATTTCGTAATTTATACCGACCATAAACCTCTTGTATTTGCTTTTAAGCAAAAACCCGAAAAAAGTACGCCGAGACAATTTAATCACCTCGATTATATTTCTCAGTTCACGACAAAAATTTACCATATTTCCGGAGCTGATAATATTGTTGCCGATATGCTTTCTAGAGTAGAATCTATTGCTTTACCTGTTAGTTCGGAAGAGCTTTCAGCTGCTCAAAATGATGATAAAGAGTTAAAAATTATTTTAAAATCTGATTCTTCTTTAAAACTAATTAAACATAAGGAAACTAATGTTTATTGTGATTTCTCTACAGGCACATTACGTCCTTTTGTACCCTTGCAACTTCGACACAGAATTTTTGAAAGTCTGCACAGCTTAAGTCATCCTGGCTGTAAAGCATCTGTAAAATTAGTTTCGGATAAATATGTTTGGCCAAATATCAAAAAAGATTGTTCGGAGTGGACACGTGTTTGTATTCCTTGTCAACGTTCAAAGATCACTCGACATTCAGTTACTCCACTCAGTGAATTTTCTGCACCATCAGCTCGTTTTGAACATATTCATATCGACCTGGTTGGACCTCTTACTGTTTCACGAGAATTTAGATATTGTTTAACAATTGTTGATCGATTTTCCAGATGGCCAGAAGCTTTCCCGCTTAAAAATATTGAATCCAAAACTGTAGCTCGACAACTCTTTTCTGGTTGGTTTTCTCGATATGGAATTCCCCTTCGAATCACCTCAGATCAAGGTAGACAGTTTACCTCAGATCTTTTTCAATCGTTGGCAAAATTTTTTGGTATTAATCATCTTCGCACTACTTCTTACCATCCACAAGCGAATGGGATGGTGGAACGTTTGCATCGTCAGTTAAAGGCAGCTATAGAGTGTCATGAGGATGAAAATTGGGTTGATTCTCTTCCTATTGTACTTTTAGGAATTAGATCGTCTTTTAAGCCTGATATCAATTCTACTCCGGCAGAGTTAGTTTTTGGAGAACCGATTCGAATTCCAGGAGAATTTTTGACTCCAGCAAAAACTGAAAATTCGCAAATAGAATTTGTTAATAATCTTAAAATGCATTTCAGGTCACTTCAACCTAAACCTGTTCTTCGTCATGGTACTCAATCAACTTTTGTGCATAAAGATTTGGATCAATCAACTCACGTTTTCGTTCGACGAGGATCAAGAATGGTACTTCAACAACCGTACGAAGGACCGTTTGAAGTAATTAAACGTACATCAAAATATTTTGTTATACGAATACGTGGAAAGGATTCAACAGTATCGATTGATCGACTTAAACCTGCTTATTTGTTGTCAGACGATGTCTCTGATTTAGAGAATGTTCAGAAAAATCCGAATATTATTAGTAATAAACTTTCGTTACTGCCTACGAATTCTTGTAAAGAATTTACTACGACTCGATCAGGACGTAAAGTTCGGTTTCCTGATCGATTGACATTTTCATAACTTATATCAAGTTATTGGGAAGGGAGTAATGTGGTGTATTCGAATGTCTTATCATCGAATGTGATTTTTCGGTACATTACGAGACACCTTTCGTCTTTCAAGTGGACCTATGTTTCATTTCATTTTCACACGCACACACATATGTTTTTCCCCTCTTTATATATTTTTGTATTCACGAAGTTGTGCGTTGCTACGACAATCGCGCATGACTTAGATTCTTATCTTCCTTCGAGAGATTTTACTTGTTCGTGATACTACGATTTCTAAGTTTTAATTTATCAAGAATTTTATATCTAAAATTATCAGTTTAATTTCAATTAATCCGAAATTGATTGTTCAATAAAATTAAATTGTTTATTTTATTGATTTTTGAAATATTAAATAAATTCTATTATTTGGTTATAAATTCTGTGATTTTTCCTTAAAAGAATTTAAAGCACATGTTCGTTAAAACATAACCCCACATATCATACAATATAATTTATTTACAATTTAATTAAATACAAGGATAAAATCTCCAATTGATATAAAAATTAAAAAAAAGTTTTCCAAAACTATGAATAAAAATGTTTACTTAAATAGAAATTTAAAAAAAGTTTCAAGAAAGAAAAGTCTTTTTTTTTATTTAAGAGAAAAAAATTTATATATGAAATATAAAATATATATATGTAATATAAATATTTAATATAAAAGGAATTAAAATGTAAAAATATTTTACCTTTCGAAGTGCTGTTAATCCTTTGTCTGCGACGACTTCAAATGACGAACTGAAGGACTAAACGTTTAGAAGCATTAGATTAGGAGATGCCGAAAACACTAGCGAAAGAGAGGGGAGAAACCTGTTCTAACACCTCTAACACGGACGGCACGTGCCACGAAAAATGCACACAACAAGTGACCAGGCTGCAAGGAGGGGAGTAAGACGCACGTCTGGCTACCGTTTTGTTTTCACTTTTTTTTAAGTAGGGGATAGCGAGTCAAAGGCGCGACAGGGTTATTTTTATAGTTGTTTATTTTTTAAATTAAGCAATTAATTTAGGCAGTCTCTATTTTCCATCATTTTAAAACTCACCAACAAAAAATTTTAATACTTACTATTTAATATATAATAATTATAAATACATTTTTTAATGAAATTTAAAAATAATGCAAAATAGTACCTTTTTCACACAATGTACTTTTTCGTTTTAAATCACTCTACAGGTCACAATTTTTTACCAAAACGATATTTTTTTCTAAATCTTAGTAAATAAATTCTCTATCCATCTCTCAAGTATGATTTAGGAATTTTTGCTTTCAAAACATTTTTTTAATGACAATAGGGGAGAGTGGGGCAAAGGCGCTAGGTTTACATTTATCGATGTATATTTTTTAAATTAAGCAATTAATTTATGCGGTCTTTGTTTTTCATTATGAAAATAAGTATAACATCCCTTGCGAAATCGTTTTACCAAATGTCATCCCACATGGGTATACATTTGGGATACATTTAGGAGACATTTGGTAAATTGCTTTATAATTCTGTTAAAAGACAGAATTTAATGAAAAAAACGATTGGAAATTGAAAAGGAACATTTGGAGAATGAAATTATGCAAATATTTTTATAAAGAAAGCTTTGAATAATTTATAATTAACTGAAATGTGCAAAAATGTCATTGTGATTTTATAGCAAGGTTATTTTTCATAATTACTTATGAAAACGGTGTAAATAAAGGAAAAAATAGTGTATATTGTTAAAAGAACGTAAAAATATTAATTACATCTATTAATAAGACTAATTAAACAATAAAACTTGTAATTTAATTAAATGCAAATGGTAAAGTGATATTAAAGTAATATCTACTTTACCAACAACTTATTCTATTTCAGCATTAGAAAGACACTAGAAACAATCAAAAGTCCCTAACGGCAGATATCCCCGCGCGGCGTTTGGTTTGACGCAATATTCTACAGAGTGTTCTTTTTTTAATGATGGCAGAGAAATGCTACTTTTATATGAAAGTAACTTACGGTTATTATTTCTAATTGTAAAATAATTACCGTTTAAATTTTTTAATTATAGTCACCATCAACATTTTCTAAAAATTAAATATCCTCACCTTTTTTCCAGGGCATGTTCCGAATAGAAAAATTGCATTTAGGAAAAAGGAGAAATTTAAATATTATTTTTATTGGCCAAAAGTCTCTATCCTTTTTCTCTTTAAAAGTTAAAATAAACATTATATTTTTTAAAAATGATAAATATTCTTAGAATTTTTCACAATGGAGCAACGAATAAAAACATTGCGCTTTTTGTAAATAGGAGGAGGAAATATTTAATTTTTAAAAAATAAAACATAATCCCAACCCCCCAAAAAAAATTGATGCTTTTACACGAATAAAAATAAGAAACAAACTCCTCCTATTTTCAAAATCAATTTTTCTATTTGTTGGTTAAGTTAAACAAAATGGAGAAAATACTTAATATATGAAAAATAAAACATTATAACCTCAACCCCCAAAGAAAAAATGGTTGCTTCACACCAATGAAAATAATAAACAAACTCCTCCTATTTTCAAAATCAATTTATCTATTTGTTGGTTAACCCTTAAACCGCACCCTGGGTGTGCGACACCCATATTCTAGCTTTTTACTCTAATATTTCGGTTAAATTCGTAAAAATTGAACATGTGTCGTTATTGGACGATACATTTTGTACTTAAGTTTATGTTCCGTGAGGGACATTAGTCTCCCAAGTGTCTTTGTGTATTTGATAACTTTATGAAGTTGTCGGCGAAAAATTTCTGCTTGTTTGACACCCAGTTTTTGGTTTAGGGTAATTTCAGTAGTTTTAAAAAACTCTTTTTTAATTATTAAAATTAAATAAATCATTATGAAACTTATTTTCCTTCAAAATAGATGTACTGAGCTATATAAGATAATTTTTCCAAAAGATAATATCCTATTCCAGCTTGGAGAACACACTTAAAAGTCCCCGGGTGTCGCACACCCAGTGTGCGGTTTAAGGGTTAAGTTAAACAAAATGGAGAAAATACTTAATATTATATGAAAAATAAAACATATAACCTCAACCCCCAAAGAAAAAATGGTTGCTTCACACCAATCAAAATAATAAACAAACTCCTCCTATTTTCAAAATCAATTTTTCTATTTGTTGGTTAAGTTAAACAAAATGGACAAAATACTTAATATTAAATGAAAAATAAAATATATAACCTCAACCCCCAAAGAAAAAATGGTTGCTTTAGACCAATCAAAATAATAAACAAACTCCTCCTATTTTCAAAATCAATTTTTCTATTTGTTGATTAAGTTATACAAAATGGACAAAATACTTAATATATGAAAAATAAAACATTATAACCTCAACCCCCAAAGAAAAAATGGTTGCTTCACACCAATGAAAATAATAAACAAACTCCTCCTATTTTCAAAATCAATTTTTCTATTTGTTGATTAAGTTATACAAAATGAAGAAAAGAATAATATTTTTAAAATAAAACATATAATCCCAACCCCTTAAGAAAAAATGGATGTTTTAGACCAATCAAAATAATAATCAAACTCCTCCTACATAAAGAAAGAAAATTTTCTATTTGTCGCTTTAGTTAAACAAAATATGAAGCAAATATATTAAATTTAAGCTCAACCCTTTACAAAAAATATACTTCTAGCTAATAAAAATAAGATTCAAACTCCTCCTTCTTAAAGAAAACAAACTTTTTATTGATTGGTTCAACAATACAAAAAGGGAGTGAATATTTAATTTTTAAAAAGTTATATTTAGTCTTAACCCATTAAGAAAAAAAAACCTCTGGCCAATAAAAATAAACTCCTCCTATTTTCAAAATGCAATGTTTTATTTATTGGTTGAGTTAAACAAAATGGAGAATCTGATTAATATTTAAAAAATAAAACATATAAACCCAACCCCCTAAGAAAAAATAGATGATTTAAACCAATCAAAATAACAACCAATCTCCTCCTATTTTCAAAATCAATTTTTCTATTTTTTGATTAAGTTAAACGCAAAATGCAGAAAAAATTAATATTTAAAAAATAAAACATATTTTTCCAACCCCCAAAAAAAATGGATGTTTTAAACCAATTAAATTAAAACTTAAACTCCTCCTTCTGAATGAAAGATATTTTTCCTTCGTGTGTTCAAATAGAACAAAATGGAGAAAATGTTAATATTAATATTAATATTAATATTAATATTAATTTTTAAGTAGGAGGAGTTTGAATCTTATTTTTATTAGCTAGAAGTATATTTTTTGTAAAGGCTTGAGCTTAAATTTAATATATTCGCTTCATATTTTGTTTAACTAAAGCGACAAATAGAAAATTTTCTTTCTTTATGTAGGAGGAGTTTGATTATTATTTTGATTGGTTTAAATCATCCATTTTTTCTTAGGGGGTTGGGATTATATGTTTTATATTAAAAATATTATTCTTTTCTTCATTTTGTATAACTTAATCAACAAATAGAAAAATTGATTTTGAAAATAGGAGGAGTTTGTTTATTATTTTCATTGGTGTGAAGCAACCATTTTTTCTTTGGGGGTTGAGGTTATAATGTTTTATTTTTCATATATTAAGTATTTTCTCCATTTTGTTTAACCCTTTGAAGCATACATTTTTCTAGTAAAGAGATTTAGTAACCAAGTACACTTTAGGGGGTTTTTAGGGTCGCTGATTAAGAATCTGAAGTCGGATTTTCCATATTTTCAAAATTCAAAATGGCGAATTCAATATGGCGGACTTATTTTTTAAAATTGGCCAAATTCACTTGAAATTTGTTACTCGGGGGTTTTTGGGGTCCCTGATTATGAATCTGGGGTCAGTTTTTAAAAATTCAAAATGGCGGATAATTTTTTTTCGAATTCATCGTATTTATTTGAAATTCATAATAGGAGGGATCTTGGGGTCGCTGATTACGAATCCCATGTCAGTTTTTAAAAATTCAAAATGGCGGATCCAAAATTTTTTCTGATTGTTTTTCAAATTCCTTATATTCGCTTGAAACTTGTTATTTGGGCGTTTTCGAGGTTGCTGATTGCGAATCTGGAATCAAATTTTTGAAATTCAAAATGGCAGATCTAATAGGACAAAATAGTTTTTCTAAAATTGCTCATTTTCGTTAGTCTTGTTATTTGCAATATTTTGAGGTTACTTGTTATTTGTCGCTCTTAGCATTACCCGGAACTAACGACGAGGACGTGGCGAAATTCTAGTTCCATATTTTTTTTTGTATTTTTTGTATTTTTTAAATTTTTTTTAGTTTTAAAATTTTTTTTTTATTTTTTGTGTTTTTTAATTTTTTGTTGTATTTAAAATTTTGATGTGCTTTTAGGAATCGAAGCTTTGTTTTATTTATATACAACCACAGTAGTTAAAATCTTTTACAAATTATTTGTGATAATCAGCGAAACAATTTCTTGTAGGAAGTAGACATAAATTCACTTTGCAAATAGAACAACTCCATAACGTCCTTCTTTCATCTTTTTTTGTACTGCACAATACGCAACGCTTGTAGTGCCCTTTTGGATTGTAAAAAGGCATATGAGCGGACTCTGATCTTCTTTTTTCAAGAGAAATTTGAGGCTTCTGTGGACCTACAACTTCTACTTTCCGTTTTCTACCTTTTGTAGAAGGTAAGTTTTTTGCAACAAGTTTGTCGACAATGTCCAACCTAAATTTTTTTAAAGTTAAACTGGGCTGAAAGTTCTTCTCTTTGTATATAATAAAAGCATTTGTTACAGAAAGATCCAAAAAATGCCAGAACAGTCGTAGCCACCATCTCTTAGATTTTCTGTCAATTTGGTACGCAGGTACTAAACGGTCTGAATTATCTACGTAACCCATATGCTTATTATAATCGGAGCACATAACCGGAGAACTAACTTCTTTGAGAGATCCATCTTTTTGCCTTCGAGTAACAGTTGTTAGATCTTGAGGATTGTGATAATTCGAGAGAAAATGTACAGGCTTCTTATCAATCCATTTCACCCATCTAATTCCGGTGTTAGATGTTTGAAATTCGCTGTCTCCTATTTTCATATTTTTATCTAACAACTGATTTTTTGGCAATCGCTTTCGATTTTTTTGCACAGTACCACAGGCAAAAATCCTTTCACTTTTTAGCGAAACCATGAGACAAACAGAAGTGAAATAGTTGTCAAAATATACGTGGTGATTACCGTTGACAAGTTCTCGTGTAAGGTCTTTCACGACTCGTGGACCTAATAATTTTTCTGTACTTGCAGTTTTACCCGTATAAATTTGAAAATCACAAACATAACTAGATTCATCTGCACGTACCCAACACTTATAACCTCGTTTTACCGGTTTCGCTGGCATGTATTGCTTCATACTGCTTCTTCCCTTGAACTTAATCATTGATTCGTCAACAGCCTGGTTTTTTTTCGGTAAGTAATATTTCTTGAATGTCTCATTCAACGTTGTCACCAAAGGACGTATCTTATAAAGTTTATCATATTCTGGACTTCCTCTTGTAGGTTCCTTTGTGTTGTCGCTTAAATGCAAATGGCTAAGAAAAAATCCAAACTGATTTACTGTCATTAATTCACTTATATAATGATCATGCAATTGAGGATTCATCGACCAGCAATCGCGATATGATTTAGGTCTTTTAATTCCCATTAAAATGTTAATTCCTAAAAAAGTTAGTAGTTCGGTTTGATTTACTTCTTTTTGCTTACCTCTTTTTTGCAACAGGTAAATATTAGTTTGTTCAACTAGGAGATTAATAAGTGATTCGGGAAATAAGCAAAAAAATATCTCGATTGGAGAACATACCGCATCCGGAATATTTGGCCCACAATCTTTCGTAAACGGTAGATCAGCTCTCGGTTTACTTACTCTTTTCCATTTTTCTCTTACTTCTAATAAATAATCGTCATCTTCATCAAAATCATTCTCGTCATCAACATCATTGTTGTCAACAGTATTTCTTCTACGTTCCTTACTATTAGTAAGGTCATTCTCTTCAAGATCATCATCGGAGCTGCACAATCCATCAACTGACTCGTTATCACTTGGAATTTCTGCTAATTCGACTTCCATTTGTTTCACTCAATAAAACGTTTTTCTATTATATGTTACTTACAGTCGAATATTTTACAAACACAAATAAAAAATCCTGCGTTTATATCAACCAACTATTTGAGCATTATAATAAAAACATAATATAGACAGGACTAAAATAACAAGGATAAATCGCCGTTGTGTCTGTTATCTATTCGTATGCTTACTTTAGAAGCGCTAAACAATATAAAAATTCAACTAAACATTACTTACCTACACAACATGCAGCAACAATATTGCATTACTTTTGCTCGATAGAAGTGACAATAGTGCAAAGTGAAGAGTGGAAAGAGGAAAGTGGAAAGCAGGATGTAGAAAGTGTGGCGTGGAAAGTAAGAAGTGAAAATTGTGAAGTGAGAATAATACAAAATCATCCAAGTTTTGCAATTTGTTAAAATGACATTCGATATGCAACTCGTGACCTAGAAGAACTCTAAGTAACAAGTTTCTAGTAGAAATGAACAATTATTGCAAAATTCTACCGCCATATTAGATCCGACATTTTGAATTTGAAAAATGTGATTCCGGATTCGCAATCAACAACCTCCAAATCACCCACATAAAAAATTTCAATCAAATCCAATGAATTTAAAAAAGCATCCGCCATTGTGGATCTGACAATTTGAATTTTGGAAAACTGACATCGGGTTCGTAATCAGCTACCCAAAAAACTCATCTGTTATGAATCTTAACCCTTTGAGTCATACATTTTTCATTTCATTGAAATCTATTGAAAGTGGTTACTCGGGGGTTTTTGGGATCGCTGAATACGAATCTGGCATCAGATTTTCAAAATTCAAAATGGCGGATCCAATATGGCGGACGCGAAAATAAAAAATGAACAGAATTTGCTTGGAACTCGTTACTCGGGGGTTTTTGGGGTCGCTGAATACGAATCTAGCATCAGATTTTCAAAATTCAAAATGGCGGATCCAATATGGCGGACGCGAAAATAAAAAATGAACAGAATTTGCTTGGAACTCGTTACTTGGGGTTTTTTGGGGTCGCTGAATACGAATCTGGCATCAGATTTGCAAAATTCAAAATGGCGGATCCATTATGGCGGACGCGAAAATAAAAAATGAACAGAATTTGCTTGGAACTCGTTACTCGGGGGTTTTTGGGGTCGCTGAATACGAATCTGGCATCAGATTTTCAACATTTAAAATGGCGGATCCAATATGGCGGACAAACAAACAAATGACAAACGACAGACTTACACGAACGATTCTCTAAACACGTAAGTACCGACTTTAATCAAACAAATGACAATCGACACAATTAACACAAACGATTTCCTCCACAGGTGAGTATAGGCTACAAACGGACAAATTACAATCAACAGACTTACACGAACGATTATCTCCACAGGTAAGTACAGACTTCAAACAAACAAATGACAAACGACAGACTTACACGAGCGATTCTCTCCACACGTAAGTACCGACTTTAATCAAACAAATAAAAATCGACACAATTAACACAAACGATTTCCTCCACAGGTGAGTATCGGCTACAATCGGACAAATCACAATCAACAGACTTACACGAACGATTATCTCCACAGGTAAGTACCGACTTCAAACAAACAAATGACAAACGACAGACTAACACGAACGATTCCCTCCAAAGGTAAGTATCAACTTCATTCAAACAAACGACATTCGAGAAACTATTACTAACGATTCTCTCAACAGGTTAATATAGCTTTTACGTTGAAAGAAGGTATTTTGTTGAGTAGAAGCAGTATTATTGTATGTGTTTTTTACATCACATCCTGCATTAAGTTTGACATTTTCAGTTCCCAAGGAGCACGTAAGTTTATCTTGACATCACTGTAATATTACATTGGAGATTCGTTATATTACACTGTAATATTACAGTGATCTTACTGGGATATCAAAATGTCCGCCTGGAGGTAATATTACGTTGTTACATCAAGAGAATATTACCTGGTAATATTAAGGTAATATTACACTGTAATATTAACGTAATGTTAAGGTAATATTCAGATAAAATTAGAATAATTTTATAATTTAGAAAAAAACATTTCACAAAGTTGGACTCGAACCCAGAACCATGTGCATAGTAATCATGAGTCTTACCACTGAGCCAAACTTACTTGTAGTGTATTAAGATTCTCGACGGTATATAATCTTTGTAAGTTTTTTAAAGTTCTTCATATTTTATCAAAAATCTTAATACACTACAAGTAAGTTTGGCTCAGTGGTAAGACTCTTGATTACTGTGCGCAAGGTTCAGGGTTCAAGTCCAGCTTTGTGAAATGTTTTTTTCTAAATTATAAAATTATTCTAATTTTATCTGAATATTACCTTAACATTACGTTAATATTACCTTAATATTACCAGGTAATATTCTCTTGATATAACAACGTAATATTACCTCCAGGCGGACATTTTGATATCCCAGTAAGATCACTGTAATATTACAGTGTAATATAACGAATCTCCAATGTAATATTACAGTGATGTCAAGATAAGCTTACGTGCTCCTTGGGTTACTTATCGGTTAGCAATTCTTTACTAATATCTACAGTTTGTTCAATCGGATTGTCAAAAATGGTACATTATATTCAGTATCCAAAAATTAATTCTTTTTTTTATAGACAGAAATACTATGAAGAGGATTTTACGTTAAACGAGTTACCTGACTGTGGATTGTCAGGATTCATTCACTTTTGTTTTTACTCTTTAATTTTATCCGAACGTTTTGAATCTTCTAAGTTTATTAATAAATTTATTAATACTCATGCCAGATTCGTATTCAGCGACCCCAAAAACCCCCAAAAAAACGAGTTCTAATCAAATTCTGTTCATTTTTTATTTTCGCGTCCGCCATATCGGATCCGCCATTTTCAATTTTGAAACTCTGATGCCAGATTCGTATTCAGCGACCCCAAAAACCCCTGAGTAACCAGTTTCAAGCAAATTCAGTTTATTTTTAATTTTTGCGTCCGCCATATTGGATCCGCCATTTTGAATTTTAAAAATCTGATGCTAGATTCGTATTCAGCGACACCAAAAACCCCCGAGTAACGAGTTTTATGAAAATAGGTTTGAAATTTCATTTGAAATACTTTTATTTTATAAATTATTACAAAAAATTGTTATTTATTATTAAAAATTATAAAAAAAATTTCAAAAAAGTAATTGTAAATATAGTTTAGGATCTAATTTGTAAAGAAAAAAAATTATCATCTCAAAAATTAGTAAGGATAAGTAGAAAATAAATTTTTTCTGAAAAAGAAGCATTATTTTTTGTTATTTATTTGTTTATAATATTTTTATTATTAACAAATTGTGAATCAACAGTTTTCTTAGACTTGTTTAGGTATGAGGAACATGCCCGGAAAAAACCCTAAATTTATTAATAAATATGCCATAGAAATACTGAAAACTGAGAAGGAAAAGGTGGGTCGCTGAGAGACCCACTGTGACGCAAAGGGTTAATAAATATAGAACAATTTTGTTTTATCATAAATACATTTTTTTTTGTATTTTCTAAAGACAAAAAAAATTTTTTAATTTTTTTTACCACTAAAGATAAATCACACATCCACTTTTTTTTAATTTTCACAAAATCATTAATACCATTATTAATGATTTACAAAAATAAAAGTTTAAATGATTAATTTTGTTTTGTTTGCTTATTTATTCTTCTCTCTCTTTCTCTATTCTCGCAACAAATTTGCAGGAATATTTCGCGGTGACGGAAAGAAATCTAAACTTATAATTACCCAGTTAACAAGCGTACTGGTACGATGCATGTACAGTGCAAGTATGTCGAATGAGTCGTACTAGTACTGTACTCGCCATATGCCTTTGTACGGTAACGGGTACTGCACTGTTATGCCGTACCAGTATGATATACTGGTGTAGTGCGGGTACGATGATAGTATGGTATACTACGGTTTTTGTCATTTAGATTATCGTACGGTTACTGTATTCGTACTATATTAGTACTGCGTGTAAAGCGTTTTATATCCCTTCCCCTCTTGTGTTGTAGCCTGTATTAACTATTTAATTTATTATTTGATGATAAATTTATTAAAAAAAAATTTTTTTTCTCAAGTGTAAAGCACAAAACAGTTTAAAATTTAAAAGTTTTCCACTTTTGTGGTAATTAGAATACGCTAAGGATAAAAGTAAGCATTATGACAAAGCAAAACCACTTGAGATTAATAGTATACACATATTACATATAGCTTAATAGAAACTAAACCACTGATTTCAAATTTAAGTATAAAGGCACATGTTACACAGATTTAAACTTTTGTATCGCATCCTAAAGGGTCAGAATTTTTCAATGTAATCTCGAGCTCTGAATGACAAAGGAACCATTGCATTTAATAAAGTTTATTTTATATATATATATATATATATATATATATATATATATATATATATATATATATATATATATATATATATATCATTTTAATGTTGATAATCATGCATAATAATTTTTCTCAGATTATTTTTGTTTGCAATCATAACTGTTTTGTTTAATGTCTAAATAAATAAATCCTTTATAAGTTATAAACAATTTTATTATACAAACTGCAGGAATATTCCGCGGTGGCGAAAAGAATATGCATAAAATTCGTTTTATTTGATTTTAATTTTTATTAATAATCTTATTGCTCCTTTATATTCTTTTCTCTTCAATCCCTGCACAAGTACCGTAAATACAAATACACATCTTTGACTACTAGCTCAAACTGCAACGACCATTTCTCGAAAACAACGAAACAAAATATTTGGGAAATTTAATTTTGTAGGAAAATACGGAGGATGAGACTCATTTGCCATTCAGGAATAAATAAAAACTTTATTTTTTGTAAAGTGTATATGTGACAGCTGTTCGGTGGCACTTGATATTTAATTTACTAGCATTAACTTTTCTTTAACAATTTGAACAAAATAAATCTCTCTCATTGTGTGTCTTTCATCACTAAT